GTCGCGGTGAGCGGTCACTCCGTCTCGGTGAGCGGTCACTCTGTCGCAGTGAGCGGTCACTCCGTCGCGGTGAGTGGTCACTCTGTCGCGGTGAGCGGTCACTCCGTCGCGGTGAGCGGTCACTCTGTCGCAGTGAGCGGTCACTCCGTCGCGGTGAGTGGTCACTCTGTCGCAGTGAGCGGTCCCTCTGTCGCGGTGAGCGGTCACTCCGTCGCGGTGAGCGGTCACTCCGTCTCGGTGAGCGGTCACTCTGTCGCAGTGAGCGGTCACTCCGTCGCGGTGAGTGGTCACTCTGTCGCAGTGAGCGGTCACTCCGTCGCGGTGAGTGGTCACTGGGTAATTGTAGGTGCCATGAAGAGTTGTGACCTGTTGGTGGTGCCATTGAGTAAGGTATTCTTTGTTAGATCTTGCCTGTCACCCTGTGGACATTAGTGGTATTGCAGTGGTTGGGATTAGCAGGAATTTACACCGAGCCCAGGTTATCCTTGTAACTAGCTGGTTGTTATTAACTAACTGATAACTGGTTTGACATAAGTCATCAGTGTAAACAGCCAATAGAGCTAGAGATTGTTTGTGAGCACCCCAACATTAATAATTACTTTGATTCCATTTCCAGATAGAATGACCATATCAGCTGTTTATTTCATTGGCAGCTTTTAAAAATTTTCGTCAGAACATATTCCTGTCCTTAGTCTCAGATATTATTCGATAACCAATTACATTTCTCCCTGTAAGTCCTCACGTATTGTTTCAATCGTCTTTGCCCTGTTCAGCTTCCCAGCTCCCTCCCACTCTCATTTTCTCCAACTTTAAATTCTTGCCTCAGTGCTCTGGAATTGGTCACAGACCATTCTGTGATGTCCCCTCCCCCTCCCTCTCCCTCCCCCATTCCCCCATTTCCCCTCCATTTACCCCCCTCCATTCCCCCCCCTCCATTCCCCCCCCCTCCATTCCCCCTGTCTGCCCTATAATATTGCCCTATTGAGGAGGGTGGGTGTGTTCTGCTAGGAGGCTGTTCCATCTTCCTGTCCCGTGGAGATTGTAACCAAGATCCATGGAAGCATCAAATTACGATGAGATTATGGCAGGTTTGTTGCATTTTGGACAAAACTGTGACATTGGGAAATGTGAAATTGTACATTTTGGGGTCTTTAGGGGACAGATCAGGAGAACGTGAGAAACTGAGAAAGACTGGAAAGAGGGACAGCTGTAGGACTGAGAGGACAGAAAGATTGGAGAGAATTGATGGGAAAGTGATCCTGTTGAAACAATAACAAATCTCCAGGGAATGTGACCTGCTCCTTCCAGCCATGTACAGCACAAAGGTCTCAAACACACAGCAGTGTCAATTCACCAGAATGATTCCAGACCTCCAAGGGTTAAATTCCGAGAAGACATGCCATAAACACGGGTTGTATTCTGTAGAATTTGAGGATTGGTGACAAAGAGGGAAATATTCCTGAAGCATTTCATCAGGCACTTGTCAGAACACAGACAGAAGAATATCAATCCTCAAAGCAAACAGCAATTTAAACTGTTTGGGAAAAGGGGTCCTGATTAACATAAAACAGGAACAGGCCCTATGGCCCACCTTGTCTGTGCCAACAATGATGCCATTTTAAACTAATTCCATCTGCCTGCACATGGCCGTATCTCTCTATTCTTTGCCTTTTCATGTCTCTCCCTAAATACCTCTTAAACGCTACCCTCCACAACTACCCTCTGTCTGCTATGACCAAAGCCGTGATGTGGGGGTGCTGGTGTTGGACTGGGGTGGACAAGGTCAGAAATCACACGGCACCAGGTTATAGTCCAACAGGTTTATTTGAAAACACAAGCTGTCAGAGCCTTACTCCTTCAGGTGTTAGTGAGAGAGAGTGTCCAACACGGAATTTATAAGTAAAAGATCAAAAGGTCACACCACTGATGAGGATGTACTAAACAAACCGAACTGCTGAAGAAGGAGCGAGGCTCCAAAAGCTTGTGATTTCAAATAAACCTGTTGGACTATAACCTGGTGTGGTGTGATTTCTGACCTTGCTCTAACCAAGCCAATTTTGTATTCAACTTACCAACTCACAGTGGATCCCATGTGATTTAATCTTCTGGACCAGCCTACCATGAGGGACCTTGTCAAATGCTTTAGTCAAGTCAGTGTAGACAACATCACTGCCCCAGCCTCATCAATCATCTTTGTCACTTTCTCAAAAAACTCTATTAAATTCATGAAACAAAATTTCTCCCACACAAAGCCATGCTGACTACCCCTAATAAGTCCATTCTTTTCCATATGCAAATAAATCCTGTCCCAAAGAATCTTCTCCAATAATTTCCCAACCACTGATCATAATTTACCAGTCTATAATTTCCTGGATTATCCCTATTGGCCTTCTTAAACAAAGGAACAATTAGGTATTCTCTAGTCCTGTGGGACCTCACCTCTGGTTGAAGAGGATACAAAGATCTCCTCTCTTGCTACGTTCAGTTACCTGGCATGGATCCCATCAGACCCTGGGGACTTACCACCTGAATGTTTTTCAAGACTCCACCACCAACATTAATATTGATATTGCCCCAGAATGTCAACATACCCCTCCCTAATCTTACCATCCACAATGTCCTTCTCCCTTTATGAAAATCAATGCAGTTTGTTAAGGACCTTCCCCATTTCGTGTGGCTCCATGCATAAATTCCCTTCTTTATGCTTGTGTGGACCTACTCTTTCCCTAGCCACCACCTTACTCCGCACGTGTAAAATAGTGAAGGCGTTACCAGGGAGAATGTTTGCCCCATTTTCCTGTAATCATTGGCCTGCTCCGACTCTTTCTTCATTTTAAAATCTTTCCAAATCCCTGCCTGGCCTCACCCTCTGCCCCATTCTCCAGGATCTCCGCTCTCCCCAGATTACAGCCTCCTCAATATCCCTTAATTTTAATCACTCTGCTATTGGTGCCTGTTGAGGTTGATCCCAACCAATCAGCAGCCACACCAGATGAATATGGCATAGTTTGTAATTGCCAATTGGTGCTTATGCTTGTAATGACAGTTCACACATAGGTCACAAATCACTGGGATTGTCACTTTAAATCTCATACAACAACTTTGGCACCAAGTTAATGGTTAACTCTTCTATATATTGACTCCTCTGATGCATCTTTCAGTCTGATAGCACATTGTCAATTGCTTAACAGAGGATTAAAGTAAACTGTCTGTGCTGTTAAACATATAAAACAAACCAATGTTTAACTCGTTCTTCCCCTGCAGTAAAATCCTCTTTAATTTTTATATGTTCTAGATTTTCTTCTTAAATTCAAGGAAAATGGGCATCAATGACTCTCCCTAATTGCCCTGGAGAAGGTGAGCTGAACCTTCTTGAACCTTCTATCTTCTTGAGTCCCATTCTGGGACAACCCACAAAGTCATTAGGGAGGGAGTTCCACGATTCTGACCCAGTGATGGGGACGGAACAGCGACATATTTCCAAGTCAGGATGGGGAGTGGCTCGGAGGGGAACTTGCAGGGGGTGGTGTTCCCATGTTTCTGCTGCCCCTTGTCCTTCCAGATGGAAGTGATTGTGGGTTTGGAAGGTGCTGTCTGAGGACCTTGGATGGGTTTCTGCAGAGCATCTTGTCATCACAGGAGTTCCAACCACAAACAACCCACTGTCAGCCACTAACGCTCCCCATTAGCAGCAATTCATTCCCCAAACTGTCCTTTATCCACTCCTTTGTCTGCCCAACTGTCTGTCTCTCTCTCTCTCTGAGCTCCATCTCTGTCTATTGTTTACTCCTCCTTCGCCACCCCCCCAATCTTTAGAAATATACTAATCTTTTCCCAGCTACAATCAGTTCTGAGGAAGAGTCACCAGACCGAAAACATTAACTCTGATTTTTCTCCACAGATGCTGCCAGACCTGCTGAGCTTTTCCAGCAACTTCTGTTTTTGTTTCTGATTTACAGCATCTTCAGTTCTTTCAGTTTTTTTATATTTAGTGCTGGCTAGCTGTGAGCAGGATTTCTGCTCAGGGAACAATCAGCCAATATTTCACTGATTCCCAAATGTAGTGGGATCACAGGGATGGGAAACAGGAGAACCAATCAGGAACCAACCTGTTGGGTTTTTGGCTCATTCTCTCAGAC